TATAATGAATGACCACATTATAGGCTAAGTAGCACTAAACTGAATTAGAAGAATATGGTTGAATGTGAAATAATTGTCCACTTGTCTAGTGTGCCTCATTTTAAAAATCTTAAATTACCAAAATTTCTTAAAATTCATATTGCATTTTGGAATAAACTCTTCAGTCTTAACAGCACATTATATAAGGCATACGAATTTTAATTGGAGAAGAAAAACATTTTGGATCCCTTCTCAGTTCAGTCTTCATAGCAGGAGAGCAAAAGTCACATTGCTGCAACGCTACTTTTAATTCTTTTTCACAGTTCCCAACTTAATGAATGTCATTTCTGCCTGTTTTGGAGGAGGTCGCTGTGTTTAAATGTTTTTTTCATTGGTTACCAGCAGCTCAACACAGTCACATTTCACACACAGAGAGCCAACAGTGTCCTAGTCAATCCTATGACAGAGGTATGAGGAAATAGTTTGTTAGTTAGTTAGTTTGTTTGTTTGTTTGTTTGTGTGCATTAAAAGTACTTGAGTCGATTTCCTTTCCACTGATGGAACGGCCACCTGGGGGGCTGCAGAAAGAGGTTTGCATACAGCTGCCTTCCACTTCTTTTCAGATGGCTTTGCACCTTTTTTATGAGCCTCAATATGTTTGGAAGAGAACTTTTAATTGCTTGATGCCACTTATGCAAACAAGATAGAGAGGGACTCCACCATCACCAAACGCAGGGAGGGCATAAAGGTTCTGTCAAAAAGCATTTCAACAAATTCACAAAAAAAATGTTAGCATAAATCAGTTCTTTGCTCATTAGGTTCACATCTAATATATAGCGTTATATATGTTATCATATACAGTTATCTGTGCAAGCTCAAATGCAGTGGAAATTGGATGACGCATAGAAATGCATCACTGCCCACAACATTCAAATGAGTGTGGAGCAGTAAAATAGTGCCAGGCAGGTTTTAAGATTACATGCATGTGGTTCTCTGCAAAGTCTTGTTATAAGATGGAAGTAATAGCGCTGTTTGAGAATAGTGCATTGCTGCGTTAGTCTTATTTAGCCAAGTTTGCAAAAGCAATTTTATTGTTTTATTTTTCTATGCCTTGTGGAGGCCTATTGGAGAGAGTTGCCATCGTCTTGTCATTGTCTTCAGTATTAGTGCCAATTCTGAACAGGTAAAACAAATAATCTGCTGGTGAGGGGCATCCTACCCCCAGTTCACGTTTTCTTGACTTTTGTCAGTTACCCCCCAACAAGCGTAGAGACACACATGTATTGCATTATTGAATTTGCATATTGTTACACCACTACCTTTTAACACCATTTTACACCATTTTCTCCCTCACGTCATCCCCTCCTGTCAAGGGGTGAAGCGCTTAGCTAATTTAGAGACCCTCCTTGATGTTTCACTTTGTGATAGTATGGAAGAAAAATGCATTACAGTTTCAGATTCATGTTGACTTTAAGCTGAGATTGAATGTTTCTCCTTAGCTGTAGCTCTCCTGGCATTTCTGAATTGTCACTGAAGAAATATGGAGCTGTACTACATATCTGTCTGATGATCCTAGTCTGTGCTTCACTGGCGCAGTGAACCACTGCATGTCGCCCAAATATGGCACTGCTCATTCTCCAGATTTGGGCAACCTGAATTCACCTCCACATGACATCATTTAGTTAGACTCTCTCTCTCTTTCTCTATCTCTCTCTTTCTCTGCCATAGTCGCATGTTTATGCACACACACCCAGCCCTTCCAAAGAAAAGTAGTTGGTATCTGCCTTGGCATATTTGGAAATCATATGCAAATAACAGGTAAGATAGCAATGCTCTCAATCATGCACACAATTCTGTTACACTGAGATTACTTACATGGCTATTGATATGGCACAATTTATTGAAAAACAAATTAACTACTAGAACTACACAATATAGACAAACTACTATATTAGAGTTATGCCTTATGATCAATCACATTGGTAAATAGCTAATCTGACAAAATTAAGAGCTCGCCTGCTTTATTTTGACCAAATAATTTGTGTGTGATGTCACTTGATTTGTCAAATCCAAAAAATGGTCCTCCAAACACTCCTTGAGATCATGATTTTCACAACACGCAATGAAAGAATTTGTGATTTGAGACACCATTTTGTATTTTAGCCTTCTAAGATGTTGTTTAGGGTTGCACAATATATCCTTTGATTGTTGTGATATGAGCATTTGCTGAAGTGGCATTACAGAAGTCTGCAATATGTAAATGAGCCTCTCACCATTCAGTGAATGTTTTATTATAGGGCTGTGACCAATTGCAGATCCGAAACTTTAATGATTTACGTTTGCTTGCAAACATAATCATTTAAATTTGCAGGTTATGTAATGCAGGCCAAACAAGTTGACTTTCTATCTCACAATTATGAGAGACTATGTCTAAATTATAAATTATAATTGCATAACTATGACTTACTATTTCATAATAATAAGATTGTTTCTTATGACTTGCTGTCTTATAAGATCCCATAATAAAGTTTCTCATAATTTTGACTTAGTATCTCATAATTATGATTTACTATATCTTTATTATGACTTAGTATCTAATAATTATGACAGTTTTTCTGTCATGAATTTGAAATATTAACTGTTATAAATACGTTTTTCCTACATATTTATACATGTGATTTCTTTTTAATTTTGGCAACTCCTTGTATTTCACGCAACTGGCTGTTTATTATAAACATCACCCATTCAGGTGCACGAACACAAAGATTAATCACAGTCTATGTTTAAAATTTGTGAAGCTAGAACTTAATCAGGAATAAATATGCAAAGTATATGCAATAGCTTTAGTTTTTCTAGTTTATAGTTTTTTATCCTGTAGCCCTGATATCAAGGCTGCCAAAAAGAGCAGTATTGCAATAATGATAAGCAAACAGTATGTGGTGTTAGTGCTACCCGATCGTTCAGTACTGTTCTGTATTGAGTCTGTACTGCAGAGAGGAACTCAAACATCCACAATGTTCATGATCTGAAAAATGGTCAGATTTGCTCTTTACTCTTAGTGGTCTGTGTTATGTGGCACTGTCCCAGTCTGTAATTCCGTTTCCTTATTTGCACAGTAGGTTCTAGAAGCATGGTCCAAATTGATCCTGCCTGTTTGAGCACTTGCTTATGAGTGGAATTCCCCAGAACAAAAGGTAGCAGGGAAAGTACTTAAGGGGATGTGTGTGTATATGAGTGAGTGGATGTGAGAGAAATTACACCACTCTGTATACATGCTGCAGTAAACTGTCTTTACTAAAGTTTATAGGAAAATACTTAAATACACAAACATACTTAGAGGGGGACAAGTCTCCAGTTTCTGACTGGTGGGAAAATGTAACTTTTCTATAGGGTGTCATGATTACTCTGTTAACCCCTTAAACCTCACTCTTATTACATCCTAAGGCTTATTATTCAGTAATTACACTGACCACATTGCAAACTGTTCTTCTTGAAGAAAGTTTTGGGCATTTGGAAGTGAATTTTCTGTTTTAGTCAACATATGATGTGGTCCAAAAAAACTTTTACATAACTATTTCAGTGCTTACATTGTGACTCACATCTGCACACGCACACCATGTTTTAGCCTGTTTTTTTTCCTCATTTAACTCATTAATGCTACCCCCCACCACCACCACCACCCTGACCTATCACTGAGCAAGAACATCCATTGTCACCTGTGTTTGGAAAAAAAAAAATTAACACTTCTGTTTCTCCTGAAGTTTTTTTTTCTGTGAAAATAAAAAAAGCAAAAGAAGGCAGATGCCTGATGATAGGCGTTTTGTCTCATATACATCTTAAAAAAAGTTAAATAAAAAAATACATATTAAAGTCAAGCTTTAAACAATGAATCATGTTTCAGAAACTACAGAAAATACACAATCAAATATTATAGTGCTTCTTTTTTGACAGTCTATTTTTGTTCATTATTTTTTCTTTGGCTTTTCTTCAAAATGGATTGATTCTGCTTTGTTTCTGATTTACAGCTTTGTTTCTGCTTTTCACAGTCCAAACAAATCCCGAAGAATAAATTCATGTCCCACCCACAGTTATTTCCTGCCGAATATCCTGTTTCAATCGGAAATATGGCACTTTAAGGAAGAAAAATGTGTTTGATTTCTGATTCATGTTGACTTTAAGTGACAGAGGTGTATAATACAAATGGCCATTTGATGTAGACTTGATTTTCTTTATTTAAAAAAAATCTATATATATCAAAGTGTACTTTCTTGATGAATCTACTCATCTCCTGCAGTCAGAAGCAGAAAAACTTTAATATGCAAAGATAGTGTGTGTGTGTGTGTGTATATGTATGTATGTATGTATGTGTGTGTGTGTGTGTGTGTATATGTGTGTGTATATATAGATATATATATGATATATATGTATATATATATATATATATAATACATACATACATACATACATACATACATACATACATACACATATATACACACACATGCTTTGTCTCTGTTTGGTGACAAAAGTGCCATAAAACAGAACAGTATCACTTTACAGAAGGCTACATGACACCTGCATAAGCTTCATGACAACTGACAAACCTGTAGAAACATTTAGAAAGGCTTATTCCAACATGCATCATTTGTCAACACTTTCTGAGGAAAAAAAAACTGATGAAAGCTACCTTGATATATGTTTGTGTCAGGTGTGATTAAAGACTTACATAGGTATCGTTTAGCCTTATGAATGCTGCCCGTCATTAAAGTGTTACCAACAGAACAAAAGCTAACAATGAAATTTACAGAAGTCACTGCGGCAAAGTTTCTACTTGGTTAGTCTAGGTGTGTAATAGATCTACAGAGCAAATTCTTTGTTTCTTGTCTTGTAGAACATCACTGCCCTCTGATGGCATGATCCAGAAATTGCACTCACGTCTTTGTGTTGTAAGGAGATAAGGGGGTGAGCTTCATAGATGCCACAGCTTATACTAACCTTTATCTACTGTTGCTGTTTTACAGGACTACTTGGCTTATATTATCGATGCCAGAGACTTACCCATTAAGCCTGAGCAGGTTAGCTCCTTGTTTGGGAACATCGAAGTCATCTACGAATTCAACAGGTAAGATTCAGCCTTAGAAAGGCAGAAATAACTAGAGACTCTGTAATCCATGTCTAGGAAACAAGTCCAGAGCACTCGAGTAAGCCTGGTAATAATTCCCCAGTGAGGCTCCACCAGCAGCTGACCTTGCAGTGGTATCTAAGAAAGGGCAAATGCAATTAACAAACCAGCATGCCATTCAGAGTAACTCTTGGGGTCAGTGTGTAGGTCATGAAGCTGCGCCCTAATTGGATCGAGCTGTCAACCATTAACCTTTAACAAAAAAACGCACATTTTTGTCAGAGAATTTTTTTTTATTAAAATTTAAAACAATCTGTTGTGATTTACTGCACGCTGACGTACCGTTGTGGTGCATTGTACTTCACATGGGTTTAGGTGTACACAGAAATGCTGGCAGCTACAATGCAGGATTTTATTGTTACTCCTGCTTCAAAGACTGAATGTTTGTGTGTGTGTGTGTGTGTGTGTGTGTGTGTGTGTGTGTGTGTGTGTAATGGTGGGAGGGGGATATGCAAACTAGAGTGTGACTGTTAATATGTTTTGGTCAGTAGGCTGTTGACACAAGGCATCAGGCTTGATTCTGACACAAGCAGCCAAAGTGGCCTTTTACAGCCCCCTGTGTTTAAACAGTTGCTCTTCGTCAACGCATTAACGTGTGTCCAAGCTGACAGGAAGCCACACAGCAGGGGACAACAAGTGCTTTTGTTATTTTGTTGTTCTGTTTTTTTTTGTTTTGTTTTTTTGTTGCTCATTGGGGGTGTAACGATTCCAAAATTCTAAATTCAATGTGACGCAGTGCAGTGGTGTCTGGATTCAGTACATTTTGGTAGCTAAAGATTGTGAATATGTTTGGTTTCCATTTTCAGTTCATAAAAGCATTCAGCATTATAAATACATATGTATAGAAACGTATTTTTAAATATTTAATGTTTGAAACACAAGTACTTTAGCCACAAGCTAATATATTAGCAACAATCTAACGCGCTAGTCAACGTGCAATGATACAATAGGATGCACTGTGATAAAATACATGTTGTTTTGTTACATCCCTAATCTCCATATTAAACAGTAGGGATGTGAATTTGGTCAAATTCATTGACTGATAACTGACTGTTACTGGTGATTAGTCATCATCCGACAAATTTAAAACCATAGACTTCACCCTTGAAGACATCAAACACAGCACTGCAATTTATATAAAAAGGTCTTTTGGCTTTATTGAATGGAAAGACCACAGCCCTAACCTAACAGATAACAGTAATGTAGTCTACTTACCTAGATTTACTTATATTACTATATTATAAGCCCAAGTTAAAAACATATATAGCCTGACCGGGACCAGCTTGACATTTTGCATCAATACTTTTGCTTAGGCCACAATTGTGCATTAAAATGAGCAGAAGTGTGTCATCAGTAGAGGATCTGGTAACGTTTTGTTAATTTTCACTTAGAAAATCAACAAAACAATTTGATTACGTTTGACCAGGGGTGTTCAAACTTTTGCATACAAGTATATATCTTTTTATTTCATTTTATTGCTTCTGTTGATTTCACATTTATTTATTTGCTCTTTTTAAATCATATATAGCAGCCAAATGATATATTATACAAGTTAAAAAAAAAGCTTTATAAATAAAGTTGAGTTGTCTATTTATTAAAGGAACTTGATAGTTCTCCCCAATGATGGCAGGGCACCAGCATAGCATCATCAAGTTTCCTTCCCACTAGTGTGTGTCTAGACAGGGGTGTAGAGAGCATGAACCATAGAATACAAACTAAAATACATGAGAACACACACAGCATGCTAAAAATACACTGCCAGCCAAGAGACATCCTCTCTGACTGACAGGTGTCAATTAGTTAAAGCTCCAGGGAACCTCGTTCAGCGGGGCACAAGAAACCGCCGTTCTCATGGCAATAATCCATGCATAAATATAATATTACAGTCATTATTGCCACCTTGAAGTCGACGTGGTGCGGGTTGCCAACTTGAGCACTTCCCCCTGTGACAAATGCAGCAAGGCATATTAAAAATTAAGATGAAATGTGTTTTAGAGATTCTCGCACATGATCTCCAAGTGGGGAGCTGTGTGTGATGCATGAATGCTGTTTGGTTTGTTAGTATTTAAAGCACATTTTAATGATCTGATGATGCAAAGCTAACTGGCTCCTCAGGATAATTTTGAAGTGATTAGAGCTCCCACTGCAGATTCACACAGGAGAAATAAAGGGATTATTCTAGCCCTTACTTGACTGAAGTTCAGTGGCAGTCTGTTTTTCGCTTAGTTGTAGAGAAACCAGTTGGATAACTGAAGCCAGAGAACTATACTTTAAGTTAGGACAGTGAACAATTAACAAATAATGGGCCGGCACCATGATTACATCACCCAGGGATATCACAGCTGATGCACGTGTGTTTCATTGCATCAAGTTTTGGCTGATTCAAGCCCAAACCAGATCTGATTTTTTGTTTCTTCTCAGTGCTCTATTTATGAAGTAGAGGAGCTGCAAAGGGACATTTGCTACAACCAGGATTGAGACACATTTTCAGAAGTGGTCCAAATATTTGCAGTGTGGACCTGTTTTAAATTGGAAAATGAAAGCTTGAATCTACAATGCCTTTTGACTGTCAAAATGTCAAAGCCTGCAAAGTCTTTTTACTGTCATTAAAATATGCAAGGTTAAACAAGGTTAAACTAGCTGAGGTTATTATGCTTCAGCTTTTTCTTTTGGCTTGATTTTGTTTACATTGCATGTTTGCCCTTTACATTGTATTAAACTTTCATAATTAATGTACCGATAAAATAAACACAAAATGGATTGGAGTAAAATATTTCTGTATTACTTTTCATTAATAGTTACGATTTTTTCTTCTCCTGTAAAGTTAGCATTTTGAAGATGTGAATTTTTTTGTGTGACGAATATTGAATTAAATTTGTATCGACCGATGCTCAAAACAGCAGGGATCGTGTCGTATTGAGAGGCAAAATACTGTGATCCAGGACATCTGTGCTGTTGTTGTGATCAGGAGAAAACATTGTATGAATAAAGCCATTTGTCATCTTAATTTGTATTTCCCGGAACCTTCAAACACTGTGCCATCAGGCTGTATATCAGTAGTCTCACCAAAAGGTCAATGTCTGCCAACTTTATTGTACATCCTTATAGTTAGGAACCTTTTTTTTTTTGTTTTCAAACCTTCTCTTTCAACATGATGCCATATTTGGCTTTAAAATCTTCTAGATGTAGAGTTTGTTGTAAGTAAAGGCATCAATATGTAAAGTGCCTTGTATGTCTGCATGTTGGCTTTCTAATTAAGTGATTCTGATGTTTGGAATTCAAATTTACTGACCTCTATTGATTGTTTATGTGACCTGTTTATGTTGATTGACTTGGACTTATAAGCCTTACAAGCCTCAGTCTGATGGCGAAGTCTTTGGTACTGGAGGCATGGTGAATGTGAACAGTGCTCAAAAGCTGTTTTTTAAAATTGAAAATCTGATTTTAAAGGCATGAAGGACATAAATATGCATGAGAACCCTTTCTTTAAAGAAATAGCTTGATTAAATATGCATGACTTATCCTACTTGATCAGCCAGGAGAGAATTTGAGTACAGTTTGTGCTGGTTAATAAATGAAAGCAAACAGCCACTAATCTTAATGTTCTATAAAGGAATACAGTACAGATTTACAATACATTCTTAACTTTTAATGTAAAGCAATGGGAGATGGATTTATTTCAAGTTTTGTGCTCTTTCTATTGGTCCATCCTTGATAATATTTTTATTTAGTATAAAAGGTGGGTATGGTGGCAACTAGGTGTTCCTTCTAACCACTTTAGTCCTGCAGTTTGAGTGTAAGCAAAGTGTGAATGCAAGGTCTGTCCACAGCCAATATACTGGGATGTTAATGAGGTTTGTATTAAAGGCCAACTTCACTGATTTTTCAAAATTCCTGTTTAATTAAATGGTTAAAATGTAAATGAAGTCAGTGAATCAGTGGGATTTTCCCTTATACTGTCTTCTGTTTAATGAAACTGAACCGCAATCAGCTAATCTCTCCATCTCTCTCTCTCTCAGTGAGCTGTTGCAGTGTTTGGAAATGTGTCACAGTGATCCTGTGGCCATCGCCTGTTGCTTTGTGGATAAGGTCTGTCAAAGTCATTTAATATGTGCATGTCTTTCCTCCACATAATATACTTGTTAACCCTTTTATCACAATGTTTTCTGATTTATTAAACTTATTTTCTTTCATTCCATCTGCAGAGCCAGTATTTTAACATCTACACTCAGTACTGCACAAACTACCCCAAGTAAGTGGAAAAAAGAGCAAGTTTCTCATCTTAAGTGATTTACTCCCCAGTGTGAGTAATCGCTGAAGCAAATGACACGTTAGCTCCTTCGAGTTCCCAATAAATTTCCCCCTGCCACAGAAACGGTGTCGCCAGCAGAGTGACAGCATCCTGTCACCATCAGCCTTCTGGTGCCTGGATCTGTCTCATACGTCTTCTTCAAGATGCCTATTTTTGTTTCGTTTCTTTTCTTTTCTTCTTTCTTTTCCTTTCTTTTATTTAGTGTGCTTCCAGTTTAATCCCTTTAACATGCACACAGTTAAATAGTTCTAGAAAAACGTATTTGAGTTAATTCCTATTATTAGAATCATACCAAACAACATTTCATTGGTTCCCCTCCCTTCTCCTTAAATTGGTCTTTAGATGTTTATAATTAACAATCTTACTGGCTGGTTGAGCTGCCTGTTCATTAACACTGAAGTTGTAAAGAGTGTTTCAGCTCTCAGAGCTTTTTGAATTAGGCCCAATCAGAACAGAGCTTGTTTCTCGTATATCAGTTTTAAAGGCACAGTAACAAAGATGCAAAGAGAGGTCAAGTTGTCTCTATGACCCTGAGAGCACTGATAGTTATTTTGCATCTGCTGTCCAGTGGTTCCGTCAGTATATGCAGTATATGCAGTTGTACTTTTCAGTTTTCTTTGCCCTGTGTAAATTTCTGCTCTTCTCCGTCACTCAGCTCAGTGGCCACCCTCACAGAGTGTATGAGGAACAAAGCGCTGGCTAAGTTCTTCCGGGATCGGCAGGCATCTCTGGAGCGCTCCCTCCCTCTGGGTGCCTACCTGCTCAAGCCTGTGCAGAGGATTCTGAAGTACCATCTGTTGTTACAGGCATGTACCTCGTACTATCTGAAGATGGAGGGGCTTGCCTCATAGACCACATGTTACTGTGTAATGATCCAACCGGATTTGTTTTTCCCCTTTACCTGATGACATTTATCTCTCTGGACATGCTTTTGAGAACGTGATCATTTGCTAAAGTTAACTTGATATTAACTTGATAGAAAAAAGGCACTTTTGACTGTTTAAACAATGTAGCTGAGAATGGACTCCCTTCTCATAGCCTCTTCACACTCTTCAAACAGTCTGTTGAATTTGAAACATTTTCTGTAAATCCTTGCAAAAATTGGAATAATATGAATTTAGATCTATGATTGTAGTATAGCCACATCTATTAAATCCCCCAGGAATTGTAATAGTATAACCTTAAAGGGCCTATACCATGGAAAACTGACTTTTCTTCACTTTTTTTGAAATGAGTTTGTGTGGTATGTACACATTTGTAAAGTTTCAAAAAGTAATATAGACTCCCTAGTCCATACAGTCAAAGCTGCAAGAACAGCCTTTTTTGAGTTCACTATTTTTGTTATGTCACAAAAACCAACACATTCTTATTTATCCGCCTATTCAGCCTCCAGCAGTTTAGCCCTGTCCATTCACACTGAAGTTGTAGGGAGTATCTCAGCCCAGGCTGTTTTTTGAATGCAAAATACAAGGCAGACAATCAGAGATTGGACATAAATCATTTGTGTATATATATATATCAGTCTTAAAGGCACACTAACAAAAAAATCAGGCTGTTTAATTCTAAGTGAAAACAAGGTTGGAAAATGGTCATGTAAAAATAAATCCTGACTGTTTTTGGTACGTAAAACTTGACAAATTTAATAAATGTGCCTCATGGGAAAATGGGCCTCATGGGAAAGATAAAATGCAAGAAAATGTAGATATGGGCCCTTTAAATACATTCTAAATCATGCCTAAATTAGGGTGCTGTGAATGTAGATTTAGGATTATTCCACAAATTTTCTTTTCATACAATGTTATTTGTAGATCAGATTATTTCATAAAATTTTGATGTATACAACTGTCATTCATGGATCCACTCTTTGGAAGTCTCAGTTGACTGTTTAGTGTTTCCTTTAAGGCAAATCTCTGTTTTCTGACTATATTTGTGTGATATTATTATTGCAGGAGATTGCCAAACACTTTGACCCTGAAGAGGATGGCTATGATGTAGTGGAAGAGGCCATTGACACCATGACAGGGGTGGCCTGGTATATCAATGACATGAAGAGGAAGCATGAGCATGCAGTACGGCTGCAGGTGATAGGCAGTCTTTGTTTATTTTGCCATTCACAACATCATAGACGCCTGCAATAGATTAGTATACAGTCATATGCAAAACTTTATACACTCAAATGACATGTTTTGATTTCCTAAGTGAAAACAAGTTAACACTATTAACTAACTGTCCACCACTGGGAACAAATTTGAATATGGCATTTTTCTGCAAATTTTAGCGTACAATTTATATTTATTTGCTTAATTTAATAACCACCTGGGATAACAGCAACATTTTAGCAACCACCTGGTATAACATAGCAATAGCCTAGCAACACCTTAGCAACAGTCTGGGATTTCATAGCAACAGTTTTGTCCAGGCAACTTAGTTTGTTCTCAGACTTTCCCCTTCTGCTTATGTATTATTATTATTTTATTTTAATGAGCGATAGACCAATAGAAGTGGCCTAGAATTACTTGGAATAAAATATTGTGACATTAACTTACTTTGGCATTCATCTCTTATAAAGTTACCCCTTTGTTGCCACAGCAACAGTATATTGCTCATACCCTCCAGGAAAAGTGTTTTATTTTTAGGCTTATGTGTTAATGCTTGTTCTTATTACACAACTTTATAAATCATACAAGGAATTGCTTTTGTCTGGAGGCATCTTCAAATTAGATTACAAGTGCTGAAAGTCTATCAGTGCTGAGAGTAATCAGTTTACCTCAAAGTACCAGGGGAGCAAAACTGGTCCTTTGTAATGAGACCAGGTATGAAAAGAACAATATACACTTTATTCGGTCGGTATTTAGGTCAGTTATTTAAGCTGTCTGTATGCAGTATTGTTGTGCATGTGGAAGAAAATGGTGCCCAAAGGTTTGTAAGGACAAATGTGCCTCTAGAATCTCCTATTCTCCCATCAAACCGAGATTTCAGTGAAACAAGTGGCATTTAAATTTCTCTCCTATGTTGTTCTGATGATTCAGTCCCTTGATGACATAAGGTCGGAGCTCAGACATTAGCATTTAAAAGCACAAGACAGTTTTAAATATAATGGGCCTGAAAGAACCCATTATAAATGCACACGTGATTCCAAAAAGCCAAAGTTTCTGAAATGAATATGTTAGAAATAAAGGGAGTCAATTAATGCTGTTAAAATTATTCACAGACACAGCACGAAAAGAAAATGTCAGATTTGTTGGCACCTTTTTATGAAATCTGAACACTGGTGTATAAGCCCATTGGGTTCAGCTTGGTTTGAAGTAGCTGCGTAGAGTTTAAGGAAACATGCTGATGACAAGTTGTGGTTTTCTGCAGGAGATCCAGTCTCTTCTGATCAACTGGAAAGGGCCTGACCTCACCACATATGGCGAATTGGTCCTTGAGGGAACCTTCCATGTCCACCGCGCAAAGAATGAGAGAACACTCTTTCTCTTCGACAAGATGCTCCTCATCACCAAGAAGAGAGGAGAGCATTACGTGTACAAGACCCATATCACGGTACTTGGTGATCCATAACTGGGGATAATGATGTGTTTTTCATAATTATTTCCACCTATTTTGTCCATATGTCCGATCAGGGCCAAATTTCCCATCCCATCACAGGTAAGCATGACCACTTGGGAAAGAGAATGGTAGTACAAGATTGCTTAGGTGCATTTTAACACAAAACTTCTTCTTGTACCTTTAAAGGAAAATGAAAAAACTAAATTCTCTTAGTGCAGCTTTAAAAGCTTAAAGGGACACTCCAGCCATAGTGAAAAATGTATGTAAAAAAAATGTATATGTCAAACACAAGGCTTAGATCACCCTGTGGCACAATTCTATCCGGCCCTCAAAATTATTTTGATTTTCTATTAATATTAGCCCAATTCACAGTGAGCTGCACTACAACCCCCAGCATGCATTGCAGTGTAATTTGCGTTGACACCCCCTCCCTCAACAACAATCTGTAGGACAGCAGTTTTCTACCCAATTCCACACATCATATAGTTTCAGCTGCAGTTCATCCAACATGAACACTATAATCACTCAGCAGTTTAGAAATTGATCTCAAGAATGAACAAACTTGCAGCAGAAAAAATGGCTGGTGTCTAGATCAAGCACACAGGTGGGTTTAAAAGGCCTACATCTTGGGGACATGTAAAGAGACTTAACAGTTATCTCTATCTAATATAGCCTAAATATATCAAGTATTCATATGTAATATTTGAAGGTTTACTACAAGTGACTGTATTTTGCTGTTGACGTTTTGGTGTATTAAAATATAGACGCTCTCTGGCCCACAGATTTGTTGAGATTTTTTAACATGGTCCTTTTAGTGGTTGAGTTTAACACCTCTGCTCTAGAGACAGATTTTCCGGTTTAACGATTGAGAAACCCACCATCTGATGTTTCTTGAAGGTGGGAAGAGGTTATAAAAACTTGTTGGGATGGATTTTCTTTTCTCCTCCAGCTGGAGAATGCAGAAAGATGACTAATGTTACTTGTAGGAAGTAAAATACTTGTAGGAAACTTGTAGGAACTAAAATTCATAGATGACTCATGGCTGTTCTGGGATTCTTTTTTTTTTTCTTTTTTTGTAACAGTCTCTTCTCATTGGCTATTCACATCCTCATTTTTCATTCTCTATGTTGTGAAAACACTGTGCCTTTTCAGACTCTTAAGCCAACATTAGGACATCTCACGGATAACAGCTATTAGGAAAACATAGCCAATGTCCTAGTCCATGTAAGGTATCAGCGTTTCTGGCATGTTCTCTTCTGATGATTTATGTATTATTTTCAGTGTTCCACTCTAATGCTGATTGAAAGTGCCAAGGACTCGCTTCGCTTCAGTGTGACCCACTACAAGCATCCCAAACAACCTCACACAGTGCAGGTATGTGAAACTCTAAAAACATGAGATCCCTACAAACCTTCCATTACAGAATCAACAGTTTTCTCATGCCAGTGCTCAGTGTTTGCTTTGCTTAATCTCAGTGGTTTTCTTGGGCATGTCTTAGGCCAAAACTGTAGAAGAGAAAAAGCTGTGGGCCCATCACATAAAGCGGCTGATTCTGGAGAATCATCATGCCATCATACCGCAGAAAGTATGGAAACTGTTAGAAACCAGTTATTGAATGAACTGAACTTGGACTGAATAATTCTGATAATTATGTACAATCTCTAAGATGTAGTTTTGCACACTTAATTCATATAGGCCAAAGATGCCATCCTGGACATGAGCTCGTCTGGTGAGTTGTAATCTGTTGTTTTTTTTTTTTGTTTTTTTTTATTGTTTTTTGGTTTGTTTGTTTGTAAAATGGGTGCATGGAGATTGACAATTTTCTTTTTAAGGTCCTGTGATTTATTTTATTTTTTTTCTAAGGTCCGGTGAAGTACCGTTACAGTCCTGAGAGACTGAAGAAGCCCATGTCCTCTCAGAATGAGGACTTCCCTGCTGGAGGACGAAAGGGACGAAGGCGATCAGGTGGGCCTTTTCCCTCTGTGCTCATACTAATACTCTGCAGTGCAAAAGTCAGAGACCACCCTTCATTAATTTTCATTCAAAATGGCCATTTAGGACAAGTTATTAATTTGGAATGTATATTTATTACATATAATTAAACAAAAATGTATTAACCTCAAAAACTAAATAATATCAAAATTATCAGTATGTAGTGTGTCCACCCTTTGCCTTTATTACTTTTCAGGGGACTTGCTTTGAGTTTTTCAAAGAAATCTGCAGGAATATTTTTTTCTTAAAGTTCAGTCTTAGAAGTTTGTTGCATTTTCTGCTTTCATGATCAAAGTAACCCCAATTACAAATCTAGACACATCAGTCCACCAAACCTTATTCCACATTTTTTTTTTTACCAGTTTCATTGTTATTTTGAATTTTTTTTCTAATTTGTCTATTTCTTTTTCTCAGTAGCTTCGTGACAGCTACCCATAGTGTTGAGTTTAGACAAAAACCTGTGGATTTTTAGACATGATGCAAGAGTTGGACTTGATTTTCTTTCAAAGCTGAAAACTTTAGATACTGGTTATCTGATGTTGACGTTTTTGGTGGTCCACCAGGTCTTGCACGGTTGTTAGGAGTCCCACTTAATTTCTCTCGTTTTATCACTTATTTTCCTTTGGCTTTCCCCTTCCTTATGCAAGTGGATTATCTTATATCCAATCTCTTCAGGTATCATTAAAACTGCATAAGTGGATGTCTGCTTTTGCAAGGCAGGTTGGTAGCAGTCTGTGGCTCTTTAATTATGGACATGAACAAAAAACATTGTGGCAGAAATTTAAAACGTATCTTAATCGCAGGCGTTTGTTTCAGATTACCAACGTGATGACTGAAACGTGACTAACTGCCCCATTTTTTTGTTGTTTTGGTCTTTTAATAGAGCCAATGAAGCAGAGTGTGAAGAACACAAAAGGTAATGTTTCAAATTTTCTCTCTACTTGGGTGAAATGACATGTTATGAAACAGATTGAATAAGAACACAACCCAAAAACCAACTCTCTCCTACAGAAGATTATATTCAAGACTACTAAAAACTTTTTGTTTTGTTTTTTATTCATGTTGTATATCCAGTTCAACTTTGTGATGTTAATACAAAAAACACAAAGTTCTGTGAAGCAGAGAAAAGATAAATTGACAAAGCAGTGATACAGGGATATGTAGGTTCTCCAGGAAGCCAATGATTTGCAAACGTAAGAAGAGAACTTCAAAAGCAGCAGTGCTGCATCTTCATCATTAGCTCAAAGACACAGCAAGGCCATCATACTTGCCTGTGGTCATGGGGGTCACTTGCTCCACCGTGGCTGTCTTCCCGTTGCTGCCTGCTTTGCTTCAAAGCCTTACAATATCCAAGAGGTCCCTCCTGTTGGAGATCAAAGAGCGCAGCCCCCATTCTACGTCCGCACACATAATGATGTTAATTGTGGAGCCCATCAGCAAGGGGCTTTGTCATGCGTCAGTTCCTTTCAGTCCACCGACTTGGTTTTGGCCTCTGATCAGCGCTCACCTCCCCTTATGCATTCTAATTTGCAGATAATGAAAAAGAAAGCCAAGCAGTTTTGTGTTGGCCGTTTTCTCTCTCCCTTCTCTGCGATCACTGTCTCTCTCTCTCTCATCGTCAACGTTTTTAATTGATTTTCTGACAGACTGAAAGTGAAGTTGTCGTTTCTGTACCTGGCTTTCTATGTTCGCCACTCAGTTATAAGTCAGGAGGAAAAAATTACTCTTAAGCAGCCTTGAGTGGCTGAAGTGGGGGTTTCTCATTCAAATGTGATATAATTATCTCTGTGTAGTAGTCCTTGTTAGAACACAGCCATGGTGGTCCTCTGTCCTGTTAGTCCAGTTTTTGCTGATTCCATGGTAATACAGGCAGTTCAGTGTTGCCAGAGCTCAATTTTTACAAATTGTCATCATGTATGATGTGGCAATATGTGGATGCGGAACTTTCAGTAATCATGATCAACATACTGTTGCGTTGTTCATGATCTTATTTAACGTGTATTTTTCTTTTTTCTTTCCCATCATCCTGCCCACATTATGCCCACTCCAATCTTGTAGGAACACTCAAGGTAAGCCTTCACTTAATTTAACTTTTTCATGATTTTTTTTTTCTCCCAAATCCAGTGCATTTGAGGAAAATGTGTGCCCAATATGCACTGAACAGATAAGCTTCAAAGGACTGACTCAGCTTTTTTCCCCTTGGCTTGTCCTTTGGAAAGCTCTCAGCAAACCTGTGATCTGAAAATGGAAGGGAATCAGTTGGTAGAGAGTAGCTGAATATGTAGCAGGGAGTACTAAAAGGGATTTGCCCTCCACACATGCATGAATTTAAAGCAATGTTTTGGCCAAACATCAAATTTACACTATTTTCCCCTTTACCTCAAATGCAGTCTGTTAGCCATGACATGTTTCGTTGCCCATGTTTGCTTCTTTAGTTTTGCACTCGAGTTACAAGGCTAATGTAGCTTGTGATTGATGTGTGCAACCATTCAAAGATGTGTGATGTGTTTGCTAATCATGTACTGGCTAGCATTTCTGCATTTTGAAACAGTCAGTACCAAAGCATTTGTTAAAGTTTTGGTAGTGTTATTATTGTTTTGATAGTTCCAAAATGGAATGTTTAATATTTTAATAAAATAAACATATTTAAGGGATATGGTCACTCAAAGCAAAAGGACTTTAAAGTTTTTAACTGTTTTTTTTTGTTGTTGTTGTGAAAAACACATCCTTTGCATTACAATTTCAAGATGTATGGACCAACAGAAAACCAATATCTTCCAAAACATCTTGTTCTCCTGTTACATTAACTTCCATTTGAAGTTAAATATGTTTTTTTCCTTCTCCTATAATTGCTATAATCACATACTTGCCTCAAGTTGTTAAGTAATCACCACATAGACTTGCTTATATGGTCTCAGAGCAGATGACACGGTTTATTATACTGTTACCTATAAAACTGACAAAAATATGTTACATATGCTAAACTTCCATTACTTGTTATCTCTATTTGCCCTGTAGCACCAGTGCAAACTTCAGACCCCAAGCGTGTTCTGGTTAATAAACGACAATGAAAAATGTGTAATTTCAGTTGCTTGATATGCAGTAGCTTCAGGACAGTTTGCTGTGAGAATCCAGCTGTGAGACTTAACATTACAGCATGCAGACAGCGTGGGTACTCTTCTGGCAGACAGCAGCCGGCGCCCCCTGCAGGCTGCTGCTAGCATCTGCACCATGAGCTCCAGCCTGGGCAAGCCCGAGGCGGAGAGGCCTGCCCTGCAGGAAATCAGGTCCGAGTGGCTTCATCTCCGCACTAACTCCCTCGACCGGCTGAGTGCAACCGACCTAGAAGCCCGCCGGCTAGAGATGCCATTCCAGAGGGAGGAAGAGGAGAAAAAAGAGAGGGAGGTGGAGGAAGAGCAGGGTGGGAGTGCCGAGGAGGAGGAAGAGATTCTGGTGAAGGATGAGCAGGTAGCTGACTTTGCCAGCTCAGTGTTGGCCGCCATCTCCTGCTGGCACTATAGAGCCAGGGCTTTGCTTTTCACTCGAGTCCCAACGGTGAGGCTCACTGCTTTTCACCATCTGCTTTTTCCTGTTTCCTGCACTGTACTTTCCTCGTCTTGTCCATGTCATTCAAACGTCAATCTGTTGCATGCTGCACTTGATGCCTGCTATTGGAATGCCTGCAGTTTTCCCCACTTGCATGAATCAGTGCATTATTTCAACTTCTTGCAGGTTTGTAACACACTTATATACCCATTCATCAGGGCTAACAGTCTGCTGTATGTTGGCTCCATAATTATTGGCACTCTTGGTATAGAAGGGTAAAAAAGTTAATGGCAAAAATGTCTTTGTGGTGAATTAGCTTAATCTCACACTGAAAATAGAATAGAAACCTAACCTATAACTGAAGTAAATTTATTTGTAAGAAAACAAAACCTCTTATTAAAAAAGATTTTTTTAACAAAGCCATGTCACAGTTATTGGCACCCCTGCATTTAATACTTTGTGCAACCTTGCTTTGCCAACATAATGGCAAAGAGTTTTCTCTTGCAATACAATAATGTGAGACCACTCCTAAATACAGAATCTCTCTAGGTCTTCCAGGGTCCTAGATCCTCTCTTTTGGATTTTCCTCTTCAGCTCACCCCACAGGTTTTCAGTGAGGTCTAGATCAGGGAACTGAGATGGCCATGTCAAAAGGAGGCATGGAGGATGCATATAATTGTAGGTTTAGGTTCACTACAGCTCTGTTTGTTTTAAACTTCTTAACTGACCTGACAATGGCTATGGGCAGTTTCAGGCATGTAACTTTTTTATATATCCATTGCTTGATTTATGAAGGCACACTTCACAAAAAGCACACTTTTGTCTTTTATTTGTGTATTCTCTGATTCCCATGTTCATTAATGTAAATGGGAACATGCTTCAGGTAGGTTTGATAGGTGTTTTGGTTCTCTTTGGTTTTCTAAGAGATTTCTCTAATATTTCCTGAGCCAATGAACCTCAAAGACAAGAAATTTACCCAGGGTGCCGATAATTATGCAGCTGACTGTATATATGTGGTTAACTCTGAGTATAGAATATGTGTATCTGTAGGTGTGTGCATTTGTGATAATTAGTGCTGCTAACAGCAATTAATGCTGCTCTTTAAAGGAATTTTATATCCACAAATTGATATTACTCTCAATGTGACTAATGAATAAATTGATAATTAAAGAACAGTAAATTAAACTTACATTTAAATTTGCTTCAAGAAATGCAGGGGCATTTTTTATGTAATGGCACTTGCTAAGCAAAATAAACTTTTTTGCGGAAATGCCACCATTTTATAATCTAAAAGTGTACTTTTATATAATATAGTATAGTTTATATAGTATAATTTTTACAGCTTAATTTATGATATTTTATGTTGGAGGGCAGGGAGCTCTTCTCAGGGCTATGTTCAGAGCTTCAGTGGAATGGTTAATTGTGCTAATGCATTTGCACTTTGAGTCACATCAATTGGACTGTGTGATTGATGTTTGACTTCAAAGGAAAATTTCACTGTCAAATTTTGAAGGTGGGGGTTTGAGGGGGGGGGCAGTATTCATAAACCAGCTCTTTGCCTTCCATAATCAAATTCACCAAAGGTTTTTTGTTATGTTTGATTTTATCCCATCACAAAAGTGCTTTCTAAAGGTCAGTTGTCTTGTTTAAACGCCAAATAGCATTGAAGCGTTCATATGAATTGCAGCTGTTTTATAAAAGGATGAAATACTAAAGAAGGATCACTTTAGATCAGATGGACCTCTCTCTGCTGTTTCTGCTACATAATGTTTTATACTTCTCTCCCTCTGTTTCTTTTTTTTTTTTAGTATGGAGATGAGGAAGAGCCTAGTGAGGAGAATGAGCTGGGGACTAAGAGAAGCCAAACTTCCTTTGAAGAAGAACAAGACTTGGGACTTTGTGAACAGGTGAAGCACTGCTATAGATATAGGAAATATTTAAATGTAAAAAATGTAAATTAGTAGTCTTTGTTTTAGTACCTGAAAACCTTATGAAATTAGTTAAATACTGTGCTGATTTATCTGTGTGTGACTTGTTTGTCTGTCTAAGGCTCTGGTTCTCTATCCTGGTCCCAAAGTAGCCCTGCTCTGCACATTTTAATATTTCCTCTGCTCTTACACTCCCACTTCAGCTCAAAAGAAGGGCTTGTTAATTAGCTGATTAGTTTGAACAGGTGTGCTAGAACTGGGAAAACACCAAAATATTCAGGGAAGAGGACCAGGGTTTGAGAAAAACTGGTAGAAAAGTCGTTGTTAACCTGTGATAAAGGAAATAATAAAATTTGCACAAATTTCTCCTTACTTTAAGTATAGGCGATCAGCCACATGTTTGGTATTCCAATTTTGCTTCTCTTGTTTTGCCCTGGAAATTGCATTTGCAAAATATTGTTTTCATGTTGTATGATATCAGAATGCAATTTAATTATTCCCCAAGCTATTCCTATGTGCAGTTTAGTTGATTTTATTTGGCAGCCAGTAATTGTTAGTAATCAGTGTTTGGGTAGTTACTCAAAAAATAAAAAAAAGACACATATTACTAATTAATTCTCTCAAACTACAATAGTGTTACTTATTGCTTTATTTGCAAAAGAAATTTGATGTTTAATATGTCAAGGGAAGCAATATTGCTATTTTATATGTTAATGTTGGACAAATATTAAAGCTAGATAACCTGTTGGTGGTTAATTGGTAGTAGCTTCTGGTGAATATCAGATGAAACTGACAGATATAATGCTAACTGATGGAGAAGACAAAAGTAAGATAAGTAACCAGCAAGATTCAAGGTTTAACAGTATAGATCAGGGGTATTTAATTAAAATTCAGTGAGGTCCAGTTAGAGAAGATTTCCTCAAGCAAAGGTCTGGAACATCATAATGTCTAACCTGCATCATGATTTGGTGCCATATACTGTTTACTGAAGTAGCCTAGTAGTTATATCAACATCTTATGCAGTCAACAATTGAATGTCAGATCAAATAAAGTACAATTTAGTAATATTTGACATTTATTGTCAGTTTTCTCTTTTTAGAGAATGCCATGTGAAATAGCTTCCCTCTGGCTCACTTTCTTCTCTGACCGCTGTCTCTCACCTCATCCCTCCCCTGTGTGTGCATCACTCACTCGAGTCCCTGTGCTCATCGCAGTGTACAGATCTGATTGGCTGAGTAGCGTCACGTGTGATATGTACAACGCATGCGATTGGTCTGTGAGTTTCCCGGGCCACTAAACCGATACTGTACAGGCTAGAAACGTTACGCCGATTAAAATAGGACCACCATGTCGAAATTAAAGAATTCTCCGTAGTTTATCGGTTATAGGTCCAGGTCCGCATAGAACAGCGTCTGGGTCTGGACTCGTACCGTGGTCCGTCTATTAGTGACCTCTGGTATAGATGAATGTGGGCTTACTATTTGGAAACCAACAGCTCCCTGTTGTCCTTTTTATTTATCTATTACAAATACATATTAATGATTTTTTTAAAAGCATTTTTGACCACTTTGATAACCATCAATAAACTAATTTTACACTATTCATAAACTCTTCATGAGCCTGTTTACACCTTAGATTAACATGTGTTTCATGTTGTGATTATATCTGGATAAACTTGATTGGATTCCATTTACCCTTTACACCAAAAAGCATCCCCACTTTAACGAGATGAGATCCTGTTGTACTTTCCTCTCATAAAAAAAGGACATGCCGTTTGTTTTATTTTTGTTTTATTATTATTTTTTTTTCTCGTTAGGATATAAGTCAGTAAACTTAGCTTGAACGCTTTCATCAGTCTGGAGTGCAAGAAGGCTCTTAGTTTGGGCTTCAGGCTCATGTATCCTTCATCTTTCGTTTAATTGTTTTCTCTCACCTGCTGCTCTACGTTCCATTTCTGCTCACGTAATTTTATGTGGATACTTGTGTTAAATGCGGTCACGATTTGTCTCTGAATGTGATTTCGAGTGATCTGATCCTAATCCTGGGAAAACAAAGCATCCTGGGTGTGTTTTACACTTGGCTTTTCAAGTGGTCAAGTAAAATCCGAACATGAGCCGATCACCAAAAACACATGCTGAGGCAAGATATAAACAGGCCCTCTGTACCATACCTAGAATCTAGTCAGTAGAAACAGATCAAAAAAGGCCTTTAAGAATATAAACTCAGCAAGCAATCCATGATGAAGACGAAAGAGCCCCAACCATGCCTTAATGTCGTTCAGGACTCTTTCTTCTTCATCATGGATTGCTTGCTGAGTTTACAGTGCTTCCGTGTTCGTGCTGTGCTGGTCGTATTCATAATCAAAGTCATACAGGCAGCTGTCACAGCACACATGCACACAAATTACATACAGGGAAACATAGAGGAAATGTAAGTTTTAAATGCATCACACAAATTTAATATTGCTCTCTAAGGGACATATGAGTAGCACAAGCAACAAAATTCTTATTAGGTCCATAACCTAATGTGATTACAATAATTTGTAGTGCATTACCCTCAACACTGAGAGTAATATATTTTAGCACCAGAATGAGATTGTGTAGCTCAGCAGCTAAAGTCAAAAGATACGATTTGGCACTTCAGTGGAGTAAGCTTATATGTCTGCCAGAATATCCATGTTCCCCTGCTAAGCAGTATATCCTCTTATTTCTTTTATAAAGGACAATCTTTAATACACCCAGTGTCTCCATCACATTTACTCTTGACGCAGGCCTGACAACAGTCCGAGTCAAACAACTGCTGCTGGCAATCAGCCTTTAGTGGCTGCAAATGGAGTCAAATCAGTGGCCTGAAATTAGGCATCCTTTTTCACGTCATATCAAAGTCAGTTCAGTCCCCTAAATGTTTATTTCACTTCTTTACAAAATTGAAAATAACCAAAAGAAAAAAGTGCTACTGTTGTACAAATTGCTTTCATCTTGTGGGTCTTGTCAAGCTAATTGAAACTTATGAATATTGATTGAAGTTATCATCTTATCTTGCTTGTCGTAATTTCATGAGTCACTTCTGTCTGCAACCGTAATTCATTTTCCTTCTGCTCTCTAGGACTCTTCTGGGGATTACTGCTCACAGAGCTTTTCTCTGGCTGGAGGCACAGAAGAGTCAAGGGGACAACAACCTCCCCTTCACCCTGAAATGTCTCAGGATGTAGACATGGAGTGTGAAGAGACTGTGGAGAGCAGTGTGGACTCATCATCCCCTATACGTAATGAGAGCCAGCTAGAGGACAAGGGAACTCCATCAAGCAGGAACCTCACTGAAGATGCAGAAGACCTGGAGGAGGAAGATGATGATGAAGAGGAAGAGGAGGAAGTTTTATCAGGTACCGAACCTACCAGCATCCTTCCTACATCTGTGCTGGACAAGGCCAGTGATATTGCTGAGCGGTTTATTAGCAGCCTCTCTCGAAGAAGCAGTCTGGTGGTTGATGACGTGTACTCCATTGGATGCCACTCGTCTCGCACAGGCAGCAGAAGGAGTAGTTTGCTCAGCTTAAATGCTGACTTCTTGGAGAAAGAGAAAATTCATGAGTTGAACTGTTCTTCCCCAGAGCTACATGCTTTCATACCCATAGCTGAACCATCAGCCTCAAGCACTGTTACTGACCGATTGGCCACCCCAGACCAAAGACCACCAAACAAACAAGACACCCTCTCGAAAAAGGACAGAATGCTTATCCACAAAATAAAGCAGTACTATGAGCATGCTGAGCACCAGGATGCCAATTTCAGCATCAAGCGCAGAGAGAGCCTCTCTTATATCCCAGCAGGGTTAGTCCGTAATCTGAGTCGACAGATCAATGGCCTACCCACTGATGAAGATATTGCAGTTCACAAGAAGGTCTCCTCAGTTTCAAGGCCAACTTCCTGGGCAGTTTTTAACCTTCCTGGTCTGGACAAAGAAAGGAACTCTATGGCCAAAGACGCAAGTCTTCCGGCCACTGTAGATGGCAACGATGCTATGGTTGGATCTCCGGTAGTTGGTAAAAATGAGGACTTCCGGCCCTCAGCTGAGATGCTAAGTGTTTGGCAAGACATGGAGGTAGAAATTGTTGAGGGCTCAGAATCCCATCAGGATACTGGTAAGGATGGCCTTAGTGACGTTGTCAGGCCTAACCAGAAGCAAAAGATAAAAGAGAGCTCTGATGGTGAATCTGGTGAACCCCTGCTAATATTGGAAGAGTCGGACAGCAGCATGGCTGAACAAGGGTCTTTAACCCCTTCCCCAGTTAGCAACTATGCGTGGAAGGACCATGAGCTGGAGCTCAGACCAAACAGTGATAACACGCTCCAGGAAAGACACAGAGTCAGGCATGCTCCTCTGCCAAAGATTATCTCTCTGAGGTCAGGCTCAGAGGAAGACCTAATTCTGCAAGATATGGAAAAGATGAAGAACAAGGTGTTTCAGCTGGCTAGGCAGTATAGTCAGCGTATTAAGAACAGCAGGCCTGTAGTGAAGCAGAGAGCCAGAGTGCCTGAGAGCCACTTTGGCCAGACGAATCTGGCCTCCCTTGTAGAGGACAGATCTCCAGTGCACGAGAAGGGTAGGTATTGCTCATTTTCATAGCTCTATAAAACAGAATAGGACAGTCCTGTCAGTGGGTCGAGTCCATTCAGTAACATGCTTACCTCGCAAGCCAGACTTCTGCCTCTTTTCAGAGGGTCTGGGTGCTTCATCCCTACTTTGACAGGAAAGGGCCACTTGACTGACATGCAAAATAACCAACCACAGACTGTTGTTTTTCGTATGACATGTAGGGCAGGTGATTCAAACCATTCCATAGGAAGCACACTGGTCTGTGTCGTGTAAGGATATCTCACTTGAAAGTGGCTTAGTGCTTCAAAGAAAACTATTAAATAACTTTTAATGATGTAATGCTGTGAACTTCACAAACTTTTTTTTTAATCCAGTGACTGTTTTGCTCCAAAAGACAGTCATGGTGTGCACAGCAGGCAAATGTGGGTAGCCAATCAGCATGGAAGTGACAATCTCAGTAGTTGTGATCAGCTTAATGTGCCAAAGATTTCATCCACTCTGTTTGTGTGGGCAGCACGTCTAAAGCTAAGACTAGTAACATGATAACATGCTAACCTTGCAAAAGCCAAATGTCAAACATACATGAAAATAGGCTGCAGCTAAACATTGTTTACATACCTAGTCATACCTAGGCCTATGATCAACTATTCTTTGATTAATCTACTAATCAAACTGTTATGCCTTCTTAAATGACTCTCCCTTTTCTGCCACCATCGTTCTAAGTTCTCTCCATGCACCAAGCGATTTTTTTCATTTATGGTGCAAGTAAACAATAGAAGCCAAACTACCCCCAACATTTCCTGCCATCTATTGCAGTCTGTTGGATTGGCGGTGTTTGATATGAACATTATAGACCATTATGGTCCTTTATTTTTTTTAAAGCAAAATGACATGTTTACTCACAATCAACAGTACTGACTTAAAATTTGAACAATTCTGGAGTTTGTTTTCCACTGATCACACTGCTGCCATATGCTCCTTTTATTAATTGCTAAGTCCTTTTTTATCAGCAAGACATCTGCAAGGTATCACATACCTGATTTTTTTTAAACAACTTTTTTTTTATTGTTCTTTCTTTTTTCTTCCTTTTAAATGTATATAGGTTTGCGCAACCTCATACTGCCACATGGTTCTTGTGAGCACACAGAACACAGTCCCTCTCACAGCCCCTCCTCCTTGGACAGTCCTCGATTGCAGTCCTCTAGCAGAGCACCTGTGAGTCCACAGAGCCCAGTCTACACTGAGAACTTCCATTGGCCAGACGTAAGAGAGCTACGCTCCAAATATTCCCGTCGTGGCACTCAGCCTCTTGCAGTTAACCGTAGCTGCTCTGTTCCAGACCGAATACTTGAGACTTTACCCAGTGAGCACAAAGCCCAGCGTAGCTGCTCCTGTTCCACCCCAGTTTATGGCAGCTCAACACCAACAAAAGCCACAGCAGCTTCTTGCTACGAGTGCCAGGGACTTGCAGGGCAAACAGTGACTAAACTGTGCAAAGCCAATTCTGTGGACTACGTGCTGGAACCTCTTCATTTGAAAAAGCAACGGAACCCCCCAGACGCCCAGAGTAACTGTTACATCTCTGGTGAGGCCACCCAGCCCAATGACAACAAGGTCATAATAGTAGAAAGGATTATCGGAGAACAGTCAGAGGAGAATGGCCTTGCAGGGGAAGAGAAAAAAGAGGAGACTGATGAGAACCATCTGAGGTGGGATCCAGACCTTGAACTGCCAGCTATAATAAAGGACAGAAATCATGACTTGAGGTTGCACACATGGCTAGACAGTAGCAGAACGTATCCGTTGAGGTCACTCGGAAAGACTGAGACCAGCCAGCACAGTTTGGTCAGAAACCTGCGGGAGAAATTCCAGAACCTTAGCTCGTACACGTAGACGACATCGTGAACTGCTTTCAAATTCTTTACCATTGTATATAACTGCAGAAAAACAATGTGTGGTAGCACAGACAAAGACAGCTAGGCATTATTTTGGTTTTGCCAGTATGTCATGCATGCAGTTTTGCAGTTTGTATGTTTTTAAGAATGAAAGTGATCGAGACTTAAACCATTCCAGTTGTGTGGTTATGCTGTATTGGCCAAACTAACTGGAAAAGGGACACTTCAGAACTTAAGAACCTCAAAGGAAATATTTATAAAATGGACTTTTGGTGTAATTGCACGTATATTAGTGTTTTCTTATATTTTGCAGTTTTGTTTATCTATGTACAAAAACTTTTTGTTAACTGCATAATCTGACACTGGTAAGCATACTCAGGAGAAATGTACCTCTGATATGCTATAATGGGATATATAATTTTGGGATATGTATGATGACCATGTTTGTCAGACTATTTACCTGAAGGGTAAGCTGAAGCAGCCAATAGCAAAATGTCCACAACAGTACAGGACAGTCAAGCATATAATGGACAGTTTTTTCTAGACTGTAATTGAGAATTCAAAAAAAATCTCATTTTTCTAATGTATGTTATTACAGTGTACTGCGTTGCTTGTTTTTACCTTACATGTAACATTGTTTGTTAGTCAGGGCTGTTCTTACTTATCCCAAAACTGTTAACTCATTCAGATTACTGTATGTACAAAGCCTAGGATCTTTCAAATGAGTCTTAAACAACTAGTATGTGCAATGCTTTACAGGTTATACATTAATTAGTAACTTTACAATATGGCAAGTGTACTGCAATGTGAAGAAGCGTATTCATATTTATCAGATACAGGTGAAAGGTGTGTGAGTATTAGGTAATACGAAGACATTGCCAGGTCTGTCTGCGTTGTCCGTGTATATATATATATATATATATATATATAAGCACTGCAGGGGAATGAGGGGAATCTTATAAAGCTGTCACTCCACAGTAATAAGACGACTAAAGGATTATTCCAATTAAACACAGTCAGTGGACAACAGAGGAGGTGGACTCATGGATTCTTTTTGATCTTTTAACACTTAAAGTCTTGTATTGCTGTCCCAAGCTTTAATCCACATTTTATTGGTCTAAAAAGAATAATTAACAATTTAAGCTGTTAAGCACAGAATGAATATAAGGATTTATAAACTGTTCAGTATTTCAGGTTGTTTCAGTAGCCTAGTTACTGTGTAATTATTCATCTGAATGCACAATGTCACATGTAATATCATACAAATTTTATGTTCTCTACTTTTGCAGTAATCTTTTAAGGTTGTGAGCTAAGATCACGTATGATGACCACAAGACATCGTTATAAAATGTTAAACATGTTGGCTGGTCAGTACTCAGGAAGGTGTGGAATAACCAGAGAAATGGCTAATGAAATAGGGATACACAGTTGCTGAATTTTTTTGGCCGATTATCTTTTTTTTGTTGTTGTTTTTAAGCAAAATTGACTATATAATTTTTTTTATTTATTTATTTTCATACTGTCTGGACTAAATGAACACATGAAACACACTAGCACATTTCCAGTGCTTTGTTTACCAAGGTCTCAATATAAGTATTTGCTCTTTAACAAGCCAAACTGGCATTTTAAATTTTTTTACAATGCAAAGTTGGACTAAAATTATATTTTAATAGTTAAAATATTTTTAGGATATTTAGTGTTTAATGTTATGTTTCACATAATACATTATAAAATATTTATAAACATATGTTTAAAGAATGTACTATGAACTACAAATGAATATCAGGCTTTGTCCCCTTTTTTATTTCTATGTTCAGAAAAAAAAATCTTAATCTGGTCTCAGTCTTATCTCAAACCTGACCACTTCTGGACTCGACTACTACAAAGTCTTGGTCTTTACTACAGCACTACATCACACTGTTCATCTCCAATTAATGTAGACCCGGGGTTCCTGCCTGTTATTGCTGTTATTAAGGTTTCTCAAATATTCTGTAATGTTTATAAACAACGTGAGGACTTAACGCGTGGTAATCGTTTCCATGAAGTTTATAGGAATTTCACAGTAGCTCAACGCTCCCTCCAAACATAACAACGAAACAAACCACTTGCCCTGGACGCTAATAGCCCGCAACGAATATCAATGTTTATCCCTGAGGGTGAACTCAGTAGGCCATAGCTGAGAGCTTTTTCCCATATTGTGTTGCCAAGGCCTGTCATCTAGAAGCAACAACAGAATGACTGACCACTTGGTTTCCTCATTAAAAAAATGAAGATACATTGGCCATGACCAGTAGCATAATAGGGGCTGTTCATGGGGAATGGCCTCGCACTGGCAAGTCACTGTAAATTCAGCAAATCTCTTACAAAGTGTTGTAAGCTTACAATGTGGCTTACTGCTAGGAATGGGAGATGCCTGATTTTCTTTTCGATCCGATATCCAGTAATACCAACTATCCTAATGGCAATAACAGTTAACTTGTGTAGATAAAAAGAGGAAATCTTTGATTTCTACAGTGGAATAACCTTTTCATAGCTGCTTCCTTTCTACCATCAGCGTATTTGTACGGCTGTCCAGTTTGTATGAGGAGCAAAGGAAGAGTGCGGAAGGAAAAGTAGTTCCTATTCTATCCAATTATTTGCTGCCCTCATTTTATTTATCAACTTTTTCAGCATCAAAATACGTTCCAGATCGATTATAAAAATTATTTATAAGGAAACGTCAGAATCGGACACAGTTATAGGAGACAGTATCAGTCCGCCCATTCCCAGTTTCTGTAGAACACGGCTTCGTTGTACTACAAGTTGTTGTTAACGGCGTTTTTAATTTCAGTTATGTCGAACTGTGTTATCGTCGAATAAAAGCCAGAAAAAGCCATTATTTTGCTCAAGGAAATGCTGAACAACAGAGAGAATAGCGGGAAGGTCAGCCCCAGTCATACAACATCTGCTAACGGTAAACACTAACTAACCCACAGCAGAACACAATACAACACAGACAACACATAAACACATCTTGAAGTAGAAAACAGCAACAAAAACAAACCTCATTTTAACGGAGGAGGCGGGAGGCGCGCGCGGCGCAGCTTTGCATGCCACGCCCCTAAAGTCCCTTCTGACACACAGAGCGAGTGTCAGACGCCACAATATCCGACTGTATAAAACAGACATAGTTTTTTACGCGTATAACAGGCACGATATAGACTTTTATTCATCTAACATTCATAAAATATCTTGATTTACAGAGCTAAATTCTTGTAAGTGTCGGTTAAGCGGTGTGAGGGAGGGGCTAGTGTAGCGTCTATTCTTGTTTACTTTATGCAAAACAGGTAAACTCCTCCTCCTCCTCGTGCTCCAGGTTACACGATCTGAAGTGTGAAGTCTGAGACAGTGTGTGTGTGTGTGTGTGTGTGTGTCCGTGTCCTGTCATGGAGAGTGAGAGCTCCAGTCCAGTTTAGTCTCAGTGACACGGAGTGAGTCGCCGCCTAACCGTCCAGCTCACCGTGCGCGCCGTGTTGCCGCTGAACAGCCGCTGTAGCCGCGCTGTCTGTCGTTCAGGATGGGCTGCGCTATATCAGGTCTGGGTTTGGCTCCCAGGCAGGTGACAGAAAGCCGGGGAGAAGAGGAGCACCTCACCGAGGAGCAGATCAGCATGATCAAGGAGTCGTGGAAAGTTATTCAGGAGGACATCGCTAAAGTTGGGATCATCATGTTTGTCAGGTGAGAAGATTCTGTATGAACTCGTTACTGAAAGGAAGTCAGAGCTTTACTAACCTCTACACAAGAGACAGACAACAGCATAATTCTGGATAAAACCTTAATATGGTCCCTTACTGCCTTCTCTGGTGTTTGTGTTTCTTTCTAGCTCGAGAGTAAATGACGGTCTGCATTTTAATCTTGGGAGATAATTACTGAACTCTTCAGTGCTGCATCTAATCTCTGTTCATGAGAGCATTAGGATGCATCAAAGCACTTCGTATTTAGAGGAAAAGGGAACAATTTCCATTCATTTCGTTAAATCCGAGCACTATTTCTGTGTGCGAGAACGTTTTTCTTGGTAAAGTTGATTCCTTGAAGGGCTTCATCTTCTCATGCAGCAGCAACAGATCCGTTGGTGGTTTAATAAACGTTGTAATCCACAGGGCCCCTGAATATCTTTAATAATGTAATTTTTTTTGCTTCACACATTCTCCTGACATTACTTTCCTCTTCTGATCCTCTCATTACCCGCAGAAGGACGTTGCTTGTTGTCCAAACCATGTTTAATCCTTTGTTTTGTGTATGGCCTGAGATACACTGTGCTCTGAGGGCTGCTCTTGGTTTTGACAAACAGCTGGGCTGCAGCCCTTTAACCTCACAGTCACTTTATCAGGTTGTTTGGCTGTCCGTGCAGACAGTGTGTGCTGTTCACATTGCTTGTGGATGTTCCATTATAATGTACACTATTTAAAAGGATGGTTCCTCAAGGGTTATTTTAGTAAATGGAATGGTTCTGTTTAGAACAATTAGTTCTAAATAGAATGATGTCACGTTTGTAACAACAGAAGAACCTTTTTTGGTGCTTCAACAACCATTTCCAAAAGGTCCTATAAATAGAACCATATACAACACATTCTCCATCAATCTGAAGAACCATTTCACCATGCAGAGAGCCATTTAAGCGTGAAGTGGTTCTAGATAGAGCTCATGTTTCTAAATAAACCTAATTCCTTAACTAAAGAAACCCTGAAGAACCATCTTTATAATATTTAACCCTCTTACTTTATAAAAATTTTAACAAAAAGATATTTCTTTCAGAGAAAAACATTTTTAGCACATGTACTATCAGCAAAAATCAAAGTAAGACACATAAAATCAGTAAACAACAATTTGACTAGTTTGAGTATTATATAAAAAAAATATATTTTATAATTTTAGTAGATTTTTAACAGGACGAATATTATTTATATCATTATATCAGTCAATACTAGATGTTTCAATATTGGTATTGCAAAGGAAAAAGCATCATGTAGCCTTGTGCTTATAATTGATAATAATGAATATCGCAATAATCATTTGTCTAAATTTACATCGTCCAAGCTTAGTATCATGATATCTCTAGTATATTTGATGGTAATTTGATAACAGAAGGGTTGTAAACTATCAGATACAGTATTGTGGAAAAGTCAGAGACCCTTAATTTCCAGTCAAAAGTCCATTAAGTAGAAACTACTCATTTTTCAGTGTCAAGAATATATATTAAATACATGCACAATTAACAGAAAAGTACACAGACGCCTCAACTATAAAATATAATAAGCATTTTCAGTATTTAGTGTATCCAAACCTTTGCCTTTATTACAGCCATTCTTTTTCAGGAGACTTGCTTTTACCACACCTGTAAAGTTCAGTCTTAGAAGTTGGTTGCATTATCTGCTCCTGCAATTCAAGCAATTTCAGACACATTTCTGATGTTGACGTCTGGACTCTGGGGTGGTCAGTCCATTGTTCTGAGACCACCAACAGCTTTGTTGTTTGATTTGCAAATGTTCTTCCTTTTCTCAGTAACGGCTTCTTAACAGCTACACATCTCTCTTCTCAGTAACGGCTTCTTGACAGCAATGTTTATAGACTGTTTAAGGAGCTCATTCTTGCTTACTGTCCTCTTTTACTCTTTCCCTTTGTATATAGAGGTTATAAGAGTGTGTAATCTGCCATACTGAATAAGTATTTCTTCTTATTCACATTGATCTCAGCTTTGGTTTCTTTAAGGGATTGCAACAGAGCTTTTGTTCAGCCACAAAAAAATAACTAAATAACTAAACAAATAAATACATTTCTACATATTTCAGTATATACCTATGTGGTTACTGTACAGTGGAGTATGCTCAGCACTAGTAATTTCACAGTGCATCTCTTCATTATGGTCCTATTTCTGTCCTGTCTCCTTTGCAACCAGTCTCACCATTCACAGCAGTGAGAAAGACACAGAATAATGTCAGCATTGCTTCATGTAGAGTGATAATGTAGTCAAACGCAGGGCTGTGAGTGTGTGTGTGTGTAAGCAGCGGGCAGACAGCTTTTAGCCCTATCAGTGTGAATATGTCCCTGGAGGAGATCCAGACAGCTGGAAAGACTGACCGTAGAGTGTCGGCCTGGACACACTGGAACGCTTGCACTGCTGAGGGCACCCCATTACCACCACACTACAACAAGCCCTCCGCCATCAGCCTTATGCATATTCTGTAACCTGGAGGACAGTATTTTTAGTCTACTGTAAGAGTCCAGCTCACACGGAGGCATGGAATGATTCACATTAGTCCCATGATACCTGACCCATTTGGTCACTTATATAAAATTCACCCTTATTCAAACTTCTCTCTGTGTTTTAAATGCAGAGTAACCAAGTCTGAAGCCTAAAACCCCACTGTTCAGTTTCTCTGATCCTTAAGGCTCCTTTACATCTCATGCATGCTTTAATGCCACAATTTCAGAACAAATTAGGTTTCTATATTAAAGAGAGTGGCCTGAGGGCAGAATGTCCTTTTTAAATTCATTGATAGAACTCCAAAGCCAATTACCAGCCATCACAGCAAGAACCACCTATAAAAGCTTCAAAAAGGATGCTTCAATTCGGGCTTATTTGTAAACAACAGATATAAACAATGGATCCTTCTTTCTGTTTTGGCTTATAATAAGAAGGCATGACTGTATTTCTAAAAAAGTCATCTGAAGAAGCACCTTCTTTGAGAGTGAATGGGTAGAATATACAATAAATTTTGAATTAAACAAATGTGTTTTTCCAAATCCTTGGTTGTAGCATTATAGAAAAACCCATTTAACATGTGTCCCCTCTCCCCAGACTGTCATGTCAAACCTAATTGTCATTCCTGTCATCATAGCCAGGTGTTGAATGAGAAATTAAATAGTGTTCCCCTAGGACTGCACTGTTAGATTTAACGCAAAACAACAGCAGACAAGCAAAAGTGTGCAACTGCGCAAAAGTGAATAATTACAATAAATGAAGTTTTATTCCAAAATGCTATTAATTCAATTTTGGACATAACAAGATTTCAAAAATAATTTTGTTATATCCATTTAAAATTAATGCAACACACATCTTATTTCTATAATAAACATGGCTTTAATCATAACAGCATTGGCATTTCTTGTATATGCAAAGGCCATTCCAAACGTATATCATGAAAAAAAAAATCCTTGATTGTCTATACTGGTACAGTTGTAATCATAACTGATCTAATCACAGCTCAAGTCAGGGTCTGTAAGGACCATTCTAAAAGCTTCAGCTTGCGTTTCTTCTGGTAGTTCATGGTGGTGATTTTGAGGTATGTTTTGGATCATTGTCCTGTTGTAGAAACTAACCTCTTTTCAGTTTCCTGACTCACTCACATTTGCTTCCAGAATTTGATGATATTTAGTGAAATTAATTCTTCCATCTACCTGTGCATTGTGTGCTGTGCCGCTGGCTGCTACACAACAATCATGCTTGTGCAAGCAATGCTGCACACCACTCCTGCATCAGGTAAACCTTCCTGCAGGTCATTCCTTTCTGGGGTTCTGCTTTGCCTTTCTGATCAGCATCCAAGCAATTCTATCTGAGAGTTTCTTGGTTTTCCAGGTCTTGCCTTGACTTAAACAGTTCTCCTTAACTGCCATTTCTTAATACCATTGTGGACAGTGGAAATTGCGAGCAGGGAGCATTTTTATATATTTTTATAGCATTGGATGCATAGATTAGCTTCATTTTAAGATCTCTCAGCCAGCTGCTCAGATGAGCCCATGGTGCATAATGGTTAGCACAAGGGTTGAAGAGTCAGAGAATTCATTATGCTCATCATCAGATGACAATTCCCAATGACAATTCTTCAGCTGCCTAACCTGTCCTGAGACAGTTAAGGCCCAACAAGTTAATTAAGTTCTGAGACAACCGGAATGGCATCCTTACTTTTGCACATGCCACAATTAATATTTTATTTTTTCTATTTTTTATGTTAATCAAATATAAATGAGCTGTGCAGTAAAATGTGCAGAAAATTTTTATTCTTTAAAATAGTTTGCAGTAGAGGTGTGTTTACTTCTTTTCACTTCAAATATCAACAAAATAATCCAGTAATCCACTGGAACGAAAATAGTTGCTGTCAAAAGCTGATGCAAGATCCTTGGAGCATCAACTTTTCTCATGTAGAACTGTAATGTTGAAAGTTGCTACAGTACAAACATTGATTTCACGGTACTACAGTTATATCTCAGCTGTTAATCTAGCAACCTTGTATTAGGTGCATTTATTAGCTCAAATGGCCAATGAGAGGTCTGTATATTATTTTACATAACTATGAAACATGAGTGCTTTAACACGCAACATACACAACAGAGAAGTCTGAAGGAGTGTGGCTGTGCTTACCATGATAGCCGAAGTTAAAAAAAAGATATTTCTATGTTCTCAATGTTTCCTCGACAAGCCAACATTTGCATCATCCACTGAGCAGAAAATAATTTACCTCATGCTGAAGATGATGACTGCCTCTTATATAATGCTAAACAAAAAGGTCAAAATTCATAAAAACTAAATGACTAAGAAGTGTCGTCATCGTCAAAACACCAGTTGAGGAAATCTCTTCTGGAAGAATGGTATTTGATCTCCCTAGATTTCCTTCCACCTTATTAAGACAATTTTCAGTGTTTTTAATTTGTCACCTTTATCATATGTGTACCTATATAAG